AAAAAAAAAATTTTGAATTTACTTACTTGTAGCCGGAGTTAGAGGCGGTCGGATACTTATGACCGCTACTGTATATAATATTCAGACATATTTATATTTTAGAAGTAAGGTAAATTACCTTTTGGGAAAAAAGATTAATAAAAATCACATTTATCTATTTTTTCCCTATTTTGTATAATAAATTCTTATAAATAATAAACGCGCTTTCATTTCTTTGTCTTTTATTTGTAATGCAAATTATTTTAAAGTAAAAATGATTATTATTGGAAATAAAAAAATCAAAAAACACGTAATCATTTACCACAAAAGAAAGACAATAATGGAATATAAGAGAAAAATTAATAGTAATGTATTTTTTGGAAAATAATGGAGGAAGTAAACATGAAACTGCCAAATATTTTAATATTCAATCAAAACAAATACGCAAATAGAATAACAATAAAGCAAAATTATTTGCATGTGTACCTCATAATTTTAAGCTTCATCTGGGTAAATCTGCTAAATATACAGATTTGGAAGATGAATTATATACATAGGTTTGTGATAAAAGAATAAATCAAAATGCCATTAGCCGAAAAATGATTACCAATAAAGCAATCATGCTATCTAAAAATCAGGATTTTTGGCAAATAATCTGAATATCATTTCATTCAAATTTTCAAACAAATGGCCAAGTGAATTTTTGAGAAGACATAATCTTAGTGAGTAACGCTGTTATGGTAGTTTTGTAACTTCAAATAAAATTACAAAAGGATAAATAAAACTAAGACAATTACTCAAGGAATCACAGGTAAGAATTCACAATAACGTCAAAGAATTATTCTCAATATAAATCACGTAAGATAAACATAAAATAAACACAAAGATAACTCAAGATATTTCAGAGATTACGCTTTAAAGACTCCAAATCAATACAGCGAATTAATATAATATCATATAATAAATTCACTAATAATAATTAAAGGGATTGCACGAATGTAAAAGATCACAGATAATTTATAATAGTTTCAAAGGGTTTGTGAAGGATAAGTTTTATACTTAGTTAATTATACTCCTTTATTAATATAATATATAAGTTCAATACCTAAAAGATTAACATTTCGTCAGTGCTGAGACTCAAAGAAAATACAGAGATATTTATACATGTTGAATAAATAATAAAATAAACTAAAGTAAATATATCAAAGGAAATAAAGTTACCATTTCGCTAGGCAATAAAGTTGCTGTGTCAATAAAATTGCCAGATCTGCAAGCAACTAAATGAACATCTATAATCTATGTGATTAACAAAGACAATAAAATTGACATCTAATGATTTGTATAATTGATCGATAGCAATAAAATGGATAAAATGATCTTTATCAAAGATCTACATAGCAATAAAATTGACTTTATATTCTACCAATTAAATCTATCTATAATTTTACCTATCACATTTCCCTCTTCTTTGATTTGAACTTCATTGAAGAATTTTTCTTTCTTCTTTTAATTCTTTTAGATAAGGCTATAAGGATAATTTCTAATTCTTGAGCATATTTCTTTTGTGTTTTTCTTTTTTGCAAGAGTTCTTCAGGAATTTCAGTCTTCACAGGTTCTTCTTCCTGGTAGATTTCATCTATTAAATCTATCAATTTGTCTGACTTGATCTTTTCCCAAAAGTCAATAATTATCAACTTGATATCATTTTCTTTTAGCACGTTATTAGCCTTTTCAACATTTTCAATATCTTGTTAATATTTTCTTATGAAGTGACTCATTTGTTAGAAGTTTTCAAATATTTTCAGAAAAATTGAAGTTCAAGGTCTAATCAGCATCCTTTTATATTTTCTGGTTTGTTTACTCCAATATAATTCTGCCAATCATGATAGATTTTCAGTAAACTTGCATTAATTGGTGCCTTAAGAATTTGTCCTTCGGTAGATCTCAGTTTGTACGCTCTATTGAGTAGTATGTCATAGATATATAATGATCCTTTCCATTTTTCTTTCAATTTTCCAGTCCAAGTTTTTCTTTGGCAACGTCATATAAGAGAACTTTGTTTTCAATTTTAAATTCAGTTAGTCACTTGATTTTTGAGTCATGTCGCTTCTTCTGCTTTTCTTGTACCTTTGTCACATTTTCTATTGCTTGTTACCTATTTTCTTCTAAGTTTTCCATATTTATTTCCAGAGTTTCATTTTCTAGAGTGGTAATGGGTAATCTCGCTTCTCTTTTATAAATCAAATAGAAGGATGTGAACTTTGTAGTAGAATTTTTTGCAGTTCTATAAGCAAATAAGATGGAGTTTATAGCATTATCCTATTCTTGTAAATTCTTCGTCACTTTTACTATAAATTCACACAAAGTCTCACTCAACTAATCTATTAGTTTAAGGATAATACAGTGTTGATAATAGATGTTTAATTTTGAATTTATCCATTAAACCTTCTACTACTTGATTTTTAAAATGTGTTTCTCAGTCAGAAAGTATATAATTTAGACATCCATGTCGGCAAATTATATTTTCATAAATAAATTCTGACTGTTTTTACGTCATTTGCTGAAATTGCACTTGCTTCAGGCCATTTAGTTAAATAATCAGTAGCCATGATTATATAACAGTTTCCTTTGTTGGTCAATGGTAATGATCCTATAAAATCTATTCCTATTTTCTCAAAAGGCTTTTCTACTGGTATTGGGTATAAGAGAGTACTATTTTTTGAGGGCTTCCCTCTTCTTTGACAAGAGTTATAGGCTTTAATATTATTAACGTGTAATTCTTGCGAATTACAACTGTTAGACGGAGTGTTCAAGTGGTTTATTCTTTTTAATTGAGCAGTAATCTTTCAACAATTTACAAGCTTTTAACTTAGTCAGTTTACAAAAGTATTTATACTATTTCATCGAGCAGTAATTCAATAGATTGCCAATGATTTGTATTTGTAAAATAATGTGTTTATTCATGAGTAAAATAATAGAAGTAAAAGAAAAGAAATAAAAGAAATACTAAAACTAGAAATTTAACGTGATAAGCCAGTTGCCTCTAAACTGTAATGTAGCGTGATAGGCCTGGTTGCCTCTAAACTATAATGTAGCGTAATAGGCCTAGTTGCCTCTAAACTGTAATGTAGTGTGATAGGCCTGGTTGCCTCTATTATACTATCTTCTGGATTGGTTACCGACGTCAACCAACAATACTCCACTCACTGCTAAAACTACTCAAGCTATCTTCTCCTCCTTTTACATGAATTAACAAGTTACCTATTTATATAAAATATATTATATAGAAAAATATAACTAATATATCTAATATGTCAGCTATGTCTAATATGTCAGTTATGCCACATATGTCTGATATGTCTAATATGTTAGTTATATCATATATGTCTGACATGTCTAACATGTCAGTTATATCACATATATCAGTTATGTCTAATATGTCGTTTATGTCGATTACATCTGATATGTCACATATGTCATATATATCATCTATATAAATTGATCATCCTCTTGCGCTATATAGCTATGTCATATTTACCCATTCACAATATAATTTCTAATGTCTTCAAACATTTACGGCCAGTAATAATTTTCTCTAATCTTTTCAAAGACTTTTTCTGTTCTTAAGTGTTTACTGATAGAATGATTGTGTGTTACAAAGAGTATCATTTCTATTTCATTTGTTTTTAGTACTTTAAGATAACTTTTAGGGTTTCTTTTATTTCTTTTATAAAGTTGATTTTCTAAAATAATAAAATATTTTGATTGTCTGATAATTTGTTCAGCTAATTTCTTATCATTTGGTAAATTTGATGTAATTAAGTAATATTTAAGTTGATTATATCAATTTTCTTCCATTTTTAAAACTTAAGCTGTCAATCACAATGTTGACACTTTCACTTTCACTCTGTTATTTCATTGGTAGTAGAATAAAATTATTAGAGTATAGAGAACAATTGTACATAAGCATTTTCTTGTTGAATAAGTAAAGGTTCAGTCCACCATAAGTCATTAGTTAAATAGTTAGGGTTCATATCAGGATGAATTTTGCCATGTTTAAATCTAATAATACAAGCATGAAGAACAATTCCATAAGGTAAATTACATTTGCATATTTTGCAATATGTGTGAATGTAATGAATTTCAATATCATAAAAGTCAGTGCATTTAGAGCATCCTTTAGTAATTGGTTGATTCACAATTACTTGCTTGATCTTAATATTCTTCTTATAAATTTTGATCATTTCATCTTTTGAACATTTTATCTAACAGTAATCAATAAGTGATTTCCAAATTGATTTATCAATTCTTGCTCAAAATAAGATTCACTATCATTTTCTTTTATGCTATTTTCTGGTAAAGAGATATGCCATTGGATTTCTTTTTCTTCTAATTTATCAAAGCTTTTATCAGTTTGTACAAAAATCATGTAAGTTTTTATAATTTCATTAGAATCATCATTATTATCAGGATTAATTCTGGATAAAGCGTCAGCATTTGCATTATTTTTGCCTGAATAGTGTTGAACTTGAAATATATACTGCTGAAGATTTAATAATCATCTAGTTCTTTTAGTTCGATTTTTTACAGTTAAAGTTTGTAACCATTTTAATGCTGCATTATCAGTTACTAAGTCTTTTATTTAGACTAAGTAAAATTAATTTACATAAAATAAATTACTATTTAGTACTAATTATAAATGAATTAGAATCTTTTTAAGATAAATTAATAATAAATAAAATATATAAACATTCTAAAATAAAGATATTAAGATAAAGGGTTTTAAGAAAGTGTAGTGATGAAAATATTCAACTGCCCAGTTGATCGCTAGACATTCTAATTCTTGAGCACTATAATTTTGTTCATGTATATTAAGGGTTCTACTTGCATAAGCAATTAATTTTTCTTTTTCTTAGTTATCCTTTTGTGCGAGCACGGCTTCTAATCCAATTTCTGAGGCATCAGTGAGAAGATAAAACATTTTATCAAAGTCTGGATATCCTAATATTGGAGCTTGTATCAGTTTTCCTTTCAAGATTTTAAATGCATTTTGACATTCTTTAGTCCAGTCATATTCAACTCCTTTTTTCATCAAGTTATTTAAAGGTTTGACAATTTTTGAGAAGTCCTTGATAAATTTTTGGTAATATGATGCTAATCCAAGAAATCTTTTAATTTATCTCACATTCTTTAGTACAGGGAACTTTTGAACTTTCTCTATTTTCTGAGGGTCTGGTAAGATTCCATATTCATTAATTTTATATTCTAAGAATCACAATTCTCTTTTGAACATTTCACATGTCTTCTTATTTAATGCTAAATTCACTTTTCTCAGCTTATGAAAGAGTATTTGAAGATGTCCACAATGTTTTTCAAAACTGTTTGAATAAATAATAATATATCATCAATGAAAACTGCTATAAATTGGTCAATGAATTCTTCTAATACTTTATTCATCATTTTCTGAAAAGTTGCTAGAGCATTGTATAAACTAAAAAGCATAACATTAAATTCATAATGTTCTCCTTTAATCACGAATGCAGTTTTCTCTCTATCCTTAGAATTCATTTCAATTTGCTAAAATCCATTAGCTAGGTCAAATGTTGAGAACCATTTTGCTCTATTTAAGTTTTCTAAGATTTCATCAATTTTAGGTAAAGGATAGGCATTTTATCTCATGAGTTTGTTGAGTCCTCTATAATCAATACATAATCTTTTCTTTCTATTTGCTTTCTTTACAAGAATTGCAGATGATGCCTATGGACTATCAGATGCTTGAATAATTCCTTCACACAGTATCTTCTTAATTTCTCCATTGATAAATTCCTGTTCTTCCTTTGTTGTTCGATAATAATTTTTTCTAATTAGGTCAGCATTTCTTGTATCAATTTTATGTTAAGCTACGTTGGTTTTTCCAACTCTAGTTGATTGTCTAGTTTCAGAAATATTGGTGACAAATCTGTCTTTATTTTCTTCCATCAGAATGTTAATTTCCTTTTGTTGCTTTAGAGTCACAACTTCCTTTTTTATTATTTCAGCTTGCATAATTTCTGCAAGATTATTAGGCAAGTTATTCCATACAATTTGATCCAATATTTCATTGATAAATGTCATGTGAATTGGGGTAGTTTTTCCCTGCTTAGCTATTTTTTCATATTTCAAGAAACTAATACGAATCCAAGGTCCATTTTTATCTTTCTCAGTTTGTTGTAACTTAGTTCCTTTAGGAATCTTTGTTATGTATACATTGCAATTAAATTCTGGATCATTAAATAGGTATTCTAAGTCTTCTTCTTTAACTTTTATTTCAGTTTCTTCTTCAGTTTCTCGTACTACTACTTTCATTGGGTTTTCATTCTCTTTTATCTTTCCTTCAGGAGATTGCTACATTCTATACATAACTTCTTCTTTTTAATTGAGAAGAATATATCATCTTTATCGTACAAAATGTTGAATACATATTAACTTCTTCTTCATATGTTTCTACTTCATCAGCCCAAGATTAAATTGAATATTTCTTTCAAGCTTCATTCCAGAGGTCAGTATCTTCTTCTTGTTCTTTAATTTCAACGATGTAGCTGTCTGTTTCTTCTTCATCGTCATATCCTAATCCTTATTCAATTATTTCATCGAGTTCATCCTCAATAGTTACAGCTCTAATTCTTTTTCCAACTACATATTGTACTGGAACTATAGCTTTATTCAATCTAGAGGTGAGAATCATTTCGTTATTTTCAAAGTTGACATTAACTTTATTTTTCTTACACCAATCGATTCTTAGCAATAAGGTTTGATCAGTTAAATTAATAACTTAAAAAGTCGTCTTAATAAGAATTTCTTGAATGATTAATAGCACGTTTTTAAGTATTCCTAGTGTTCTTTTTCTCTGTCCATTTGCAGTAACAATAATTATTTGTGAGGGTTTATCAATGTCTAATCCAAGTTTCTTTATCAATTTGTGCGTCATGATGCTTACTGCAGTTCCTATATCGATAATAGCAGTTACTGGGTTTTTCTTAATTTTAACATGACATCTCAATACCATAGTTTGTTCTTCTTCTTCTGGAGTACTGGTGAATATTACATTTCCTTTTAATTTAGATCTTAAAGGAGTTTTTGTTATTGCAATCTAATTGCATCATTTGTCTCATATTAACATTAGCTTTAATATTTACAAGATCATCCCAAATGTTATAAGGTTCAATATTATTCAAAAGTGATGGTCCTCTAGGTATTTTCTTCCTAGGTTTAGTAATATTGTCCACCACTGTTTGAGGTATCTGTTCAGTTATCTCTATTAGTTCATTAATTATCTGAGATTGAGTTCGTCTAGTATTAGTTTCTCTTTGTTATTTAGATCTTTTCCTTCTAATCGCTGGAAAGACTTCTTGTTTAAGCATATTTACTTCTTTTCTGTTTTGGTCATTATTTCTGGTTCTCCAGTTCTCTTGAAGTAGAACTTTTTTTGAAAGACATTGTCTGGCTATATGACCTTTTTTTCCACATCTGAAATAAATTAATTCTTTTCTTAGTTTGCTTTCAGGATTATAACTTTTTCTTTCAGCTGGATTTGTGATTAATGTGACCATAATGTTTATTTAGTTCAAAGCCATTTATTCAAATTGTTTAGACAATTTTTCAATGTTGTCTTCAACTTTTGGTTTGCTAAAATCGTGTTCTGTTGCATAATATCATACAGTTTCAACAGTTTTAGCTTGAGTAATAGCAGTATCTAAATCAGCTGGGTTTTGAATTGCGATTAAGGTTGCTAATTCTTTATTTAATCCACTTAAGAACATTCATACTTTAAAGGTATCTAGGATTCCTCCTGCATCTACTCTATTTGTTAACTTCTTAAATTTAGATGCATAAGTTTTAACCTTTTCATTTTCTTGTTTCAGGTTCATTAATTCATATTGCCATCTGTGTAATTTTTCTTGCGATGAGAAGCGTGCCAAGAATCTTTTTCTAAATCATGTGTTTGCATTTCTGTCCTATCTGTTAATTGTATTGCTTACTAAATTATACCAGTCAGCTGCTTCTTCTCTTAACATTCCTGCTGCAATTGCTACTCTTCTATTATCTGGCTATCCATTAGCTTCTTTTGCTTTTAAGAATATTTCAATCCATTCTTGAGCATCTTCGCTATTTTTTCTATAAAAAGGATCAACTTTTACAATAGAACTTCCTACTGCAGGTGATGCTGAGATATTAATACCATTAAATCTATTGGTCATACTAGTTGTAATTTGTGTTATCAATGTATTGAGTTGGTCTGCTATCATAGCCATGTTTGCAAGATTTAGTGGAGGGTTACTCCGTAATTAAAGTGATTAGTGTTATGTGAGATGATAAGAATATGTTAATATATTACTTCTGATTCAAAGTAACACATAAATCTAAGGCTAAATACTAAAGATATTGCTGCTTTTGCTGCTTGTTCAGTGTCAAGACTATGAGGATTATTAATGTCAAAATACTGTCCTATTTCTTCAAAATATTGTTCACTTAGAGATGAATATGTATATGCACAATACTATTGGTGAATCCACTGATAGAATTTTTAAAATTGAATGCTTGGGTTTTCAGATGGTCGATAACAAATTCTACAAGACTTATCAAAAGATTTTATAAGGTATATTCATCCTAGATATTTGAAGTAGTTGTTTAAGTGTTGTTTTCTTATTTTACTATATAGGTCACAATTTATGTACTAGTAAAATCTCTAAGTTAATTCAATAAGTCTCTTCTGATTTCTAATAGATTATTCTTGTCTTTATGTAGGTTGAATAAGTGGTTGTTGAGAGCTTTTAATCCTTTCTTGACTTCTTGTTTGACTAAATAAATTATATCAAGTGGTAATTTACTTTTTTTATGAGTAACTAATTTTCTAATTCCTCCTCTAATATCAGAATAAATATAAATATAACTAAGTTCCATGAGGGTATCCAATTGTTGTTGTAATTCTCTGGTTATTAAAAAGATTTCAATGTCAATTTCTTTTAAGTGGTTGGTTGTGTTGTTGATATTCTTTTCTAATCTTAACAATTCTTGAATACTCATGTAAATCGTACTGAATTACACTGGCCTACAAAAAGTATTCAAATTTTTTTTATTTATAAAATTTACATTAAAATTCATAATTTTTATATACATATATAAATTTTTTTCGTACTTATTAATTGTCAAATAAATTTTATTTTATTAAAATATAAAATATAAAGCTATTATACGAAAAATATTATAGCTAAAAAATTAATACTTAGTATGATCACCTTTGGCCTTAATTACAGCTCTAATCCAATTAGGCATACTCAAAATTAGGCAATAACATGTTTCAATAGTAATTTTTTGCTATTCCTCTTGTACTGCCCTAATTAACTCCTGTTTAGACTTAGGCAAAGGCTTTCTTTTTTGAACCTGATAATCCAAATGGTTTTACAGATTTTTGATGGAGTTTAGATCAGAGTTTTGTATTACCTAGTCTAAAATCAGAATACTATGTATTCTTATTCACCAAACGCTGTAATTTGAAGTATAACAGGACGTTCCATCTTGTTGAAAAATAGAGTTTGGGTAATTGTCAACCCATAGAATAAAATTATTGGCCAGGATATTTATATATTCGTTAGAATCTATGTTTCCTTTAACTACAACCAAAGAACTAACCCTATGCCAACTAAAACATCTCCAAAACATCACTGATCCTTTCCCAAACTTAATTGTTGGCTGAATATAATCTTTATTATATGCTTCTTTAGAACTTCTCCATACTCTTACTTGATTGTCTGATTGAAAAAGAGCGAATCTTGACTCATCTGACCATACTACTTATTTCTATTCCTCTATCCATTTTTTTTTCTTTGCACTAATTTAAGCGATTAGTTCGATGTTTTAGAGTTAAATGAGGTTTTTTTTATGCAGTATAACTTCTGAGATCTTCATTATGAAGGTAACTTTTGACTGTATTATAGTATACAGTTGCGTCAAGACTGATATTTAGTTTGTCTGTTATATTACCTAAAGGAGAAAACTAGTCAGTTCAGAGAATACGTTTTAAAGCTTAGGTATTACGTTTACTGAGTATTTTTGGTCATCCAGAATATTTCCTAGATTCTGAAGAACCAGTTTTTTTATGGTATTACTTACAGTACTAGTCAGAATATTAAGCTGAGTAGAAATAACTCTTTGCCTAATACCGCTAAGATATACGTCGATAATTCATTTCTGGTAGTCTTTGAAACTTTGTTTCACGCATTTAAAACTAGAAGAGGAGTTAAAAATAAATATTTTGTTATCACTTTTATTTATATGCGTGATAAGAAGAAATGCTGATTTTTAGCACAGTAACGCAAATCACGTGTTGAAAATCTGAATACTTTTTGTAAGCCAGTGTATTGTTTTTGATCCTTATAAGGAGCACCAAAATGTCATGTTAGTTTGTGACTTTAAATAAAATCTCAAAATAGGGTAAATAAAACTAAGACAATTACTTAAGGAATCATGGGAAGGATTCACAATAATGTCGAAGAGTTATTCTCAATATAAATCACGTGAGATAAATACAAAATAAATATAAAGATAACTCAAAGATATTTCAAAGATTACGCTTTAGAGACTCCAAGTCAATACAGCGAATCAATACAATATTATATAATAAGTTCACTAACAAAAGGATTGCACGAATGCAAAGGGTTACAGATAATTTAGAATAGTTTCAAAGGGTTTATGAAAGATAAGTTTTATATTTAGTTAATTATACTTCTTTATTAATATAATATATAAGTTTAGTACCTAAAAGATTAACATCTCGTCAGTGTTGAGACTCAAAGAAAATACAGAGATATTTATACATATTGAATAAATAATAAAATAAAATAAACTAAATATATCAAAGGAAATAAAGTTACCATTTCGCTAGGCAATAAAGTTGCCAGATTTGCAGGCACCTAAATAGATATCTATGATTTACATAATTATCAAAGGCAATAAAATTTATATCTAAGGATTTGCATAATTGATCGATGGTAATAAAATGGACAAAATGATCTTTATAAAAGATCTATATAGCAATAAAATTGACTTTATATTCTACCAATTAAATCTATCTAAAATTTTATCTGTTACATTTCCCTCTTCTTTGAACTCTGTTGAAGAATTTTTCTTTCTTCTTTTAATTCTCTTAAACAAGACCATAGGGATAATTCCTAGTTCTTGAGCATATTTCTTTTGCATTTTTCTTTTTTGCAAGAGTTCTTCAGGAATTTTAGTCTTTATAGGTTCTTCTTTCTGGTAGATTTCATTCATTAAATTTATCAATTTGTTTGACTTGGTCTTTTCCCAGAGGTCAATAATTATCAAAAGTAACTTGATATCATTTTCTTTTAATACGTTATTAGCCTTTTCAATATTTTAATATATTGTTGATATTTTCTTACGAAATGACTCATTTGTTGAAAATTTTCAAACATTTTCAGAAAAATTGAAGTTCAAAGTCTAATCAGCATCCTTTTATATTTTCTAGTTTGTTTACTCAAACATAGATCACAGGGTTCTAATTTTGCCGATCATGATAGATTTTCAGTAAACTTGCATTGATTGGTGTCTTAAGAATTCGTCCTTTAGTAGATCTCAATTTGTATACTCCATTAAATAATACATTATGGATATAGAATGGTCCTTTCCATTTTTCTTCCAATTTTCCAGTCCAAGTTTTCTCTTTGGCAGCATCGTATAAGAGAACTTTGTCTCCAATTTTAAATTCAGTTAGTCGCTTGATTTTTGAGTCATGTCGCTTCTTTTGCTTTTCTTGTGTCTTTACCACATTTTCAATTGCTTGTTGCCTATTTTCTTCTAAGCTTTCCAAATTTATTTCCAAAGTTTCATTTTCAAAGGCAGTAATTGGTAATCTCGCATCTCTTCTATAGGTCAGATAGAATAGTGTAAACTTTGTAGTAGAATTTTTTGCAATTCGATAAGCGAATAAGATAGAATTTATAGCGTTATCCTATTCTTGTAAATTCTTTATTGCTTTCATTATAGATTCACATAAGGTCTTATTGAATCGCTTAACTAATCCATTAGTTTGTGAATCATATAACATTGATAATAGATGTTTAATTTCAAACCTATTCATTAAACCTTCTACTACTTGATTTTAAAATGTGTTCCTCAATCAGAAAGTATGTAATTTGAACATCCATGTTGGCAAATTATATTTTCATAAATAATTTCTACAACTGTTTTTGCGTCATTTGCTGAAGTTACACTTGCTTCAGATCATTTGGTTAAATAATCAGTAGCTACAATTATATAACAGTTTCCTTTATTAGTCAATGGTAATGGTCCTACAAAATCTATTCCTATTTTTTCAAAAGGCTTTCCTACTTGTAAGAGAGTACTGTTTTTCGAAGGCTTTTCTCTTCTTTGATAAGAGTCACAGGCTTTAATGTAATTTCTAATGTCTTCAACATTTGTAATCAGTAATAATTTTCTCTAATCTTTTCGAAGACTTTTTCTGTTCCTAAATATCCACTGGTAGGATAATTATGTGTTGCAAAAAGTATCATTTCTATTTTGTTTGTTTTTAATACTTTAAGATAGCTTTCAGGATTTCTCTTATTTCTTTTATAAAGTTGATTTTCTAATATAAAAAACGTTTTGATTGTCTAATAATTTATTTGGCTAGTTTCTTATCATTTGGTAAATTTGATGTAATTAAATAATGTTTAAGTTGATTATATCGATTTTTTTTCATTTTTAAAACTTGAGCTGTCAATCATAATATTGACACTTTCACTTTCACTCTGTTATTTTGTTGATATTAAGATAAGATTATTGGAGTATGGCGAACAATTGTGCATAAGCATTTTCTTGTTAAACAAGTTGAGGTTCAGTCTACTATAAGTCATTAATTAAATAGTTAGGATTTATGTCAGAATGAATTTTGTCACATTCAAATCCAATAATACAATAATGAAGAATAATTCTATAAGGTAAATTACGTTTGTATGCCTTACAATATGTGTGAATGTGATGATTTTCAATATTACAAAAGTCAGTGCACTTAGAGTCTCCTTTGGTAATTGGTTGATTTGCAATTACTTGCTTGACTTTAATGTTTTCTTTGTAAATTTCGATCATTTCATCTTTTGGACATTAGTATCCAACAGTAATCAATAAGTAATTTCCAAATTGATTCATCAATTCTTGCTTAAAGTAAGATTCAGTATTATTTTCTTCTACGCTATTTTCTGGTAAGGAGATATGCCATTGGATTTCCTTTTCTTCTAATTCATCAAAGTTTTCATCAGTTTGTATAGAAATCATATAAGTTTTTACAATTTCGTCAGAATCTTTATTATTATCAGGATCAATTCTAGATAAAGTGTCAGCATTCGCATTATTTTTTCCTGAACGGTATTAAACTTGAAATGTATATTGCTAAAGGTTTAATAATCATCTAACTCTTTTAGTTCGATTTTTACAATTGAAGTTTGTAATCATTTTAATGCTGCATTATCAGTTACTAAGATAAAGAGTTTTAAAGAAATGTAGTGATGAAAGTATTCAACTGCCCAATTAATTGCTAGACATTCTAATTCTTGAGCACTATAATTTTATTCATATATATTAAGAGTTCTACTTGTATAGGCAATTACTTTCTCTTTTCCTTGATCATCCTTTTGTACTAGCACAGCTTCTAGTCCAATTCTTGTGACATTAGTAAAAAGATAAAACATTTTATCAAAATCTGAATATCCTAATATTGGAGTTTGCGTCAGTTTTTCTTTCAAGGTTTCAAATGCATTTTGACATTTATTGGTCCAGTCATATTCAACTCCTTTCTTTGTCAAGTTATTTAAAGGTTTGGCAATTTTTGAAAAATCCTTGATAAATTTTTGGTAATATGATGCTAATTCAAGAAATCCTTTAATTTGACTCACATTTTTTAGCACAGGAAACTCTTGAACTTTTTCTATCTTTTGAGGATCTGATAAAATTCCATATTCATTAATTTATGTTCTAAGAATCGTAATTCATTTTTGAATATTTCATATTTCTCTTTATTTAGTGCTAAGTTCGCTTTTCTCAGCTTATAAAAGAGCATTTAAAGAATTTCACAATATTCTTCAAAACTGTTCAAATAAATGATAATATCATCAATGAAGACTGCTACAAATTGGTCAATGTATTCTTCTAATACTTTATTCATCATTTTCTGAAAGGTTGCTAGAGCGTTGCATAAACCAAAAGGCATAACATTAAATTTATAATGTCCTCCTTTAATTATTAATGCAGTTTTTTCTTTATCTCTAGGATTCATTTCGATTTGTCAAAATCCACTAGCTAGGTCAATTGTTGAGAACCATTTTGCTCCATTTAAGTTTTCTAAGATTTCATCAATTCTAGACAAAGGATAGGCATCTTCTCTTGTGAGTTTATTGAGTCCTCTGTAATCAATACATATTCTTTTCTTTCCATTTGCTTTCTTTACAAGAATTGCAGGTAATATCCATGGACTATCAGATGCTTGAATAATTCCTTCACATAGCATCTTTTTAATTTCTTCATTGATAAATTCTTATTCTTCTTTTGTCATTTGATAATAATTTCTCCTAATTGGGTCAGCATTTCTTTTTCACTTTTCGCGATATTAATTCAATTATGCGGAATAGAATCCCAACTAAATTAATTAATTTTTATCAGCTGTAATTTTTGAATATCATTTGTTATTTGTAGTGGTTGACAAAAAAGGTCTTTTTTTATTGTTGCAGTATTATAGTTGTACTTTCATCTATATTTTTCGAAGTTAAGGATAATATAAAAAACAAAATAATTGATGATTACCATTAAAAAATTGCCATATGTTGAAATATAGTTTTTTAGCATACAAATGTTGCTATTTTATTAAATAAAGCAATTCGTCTTCTATAATATATTAATAAGTTTGTTAAGATATTTTTTTCCAGTTAAATTCGCCTAAAATAAAATTTTGTTAAATTATATTATTAAGCTTATCATAAAAAAGTAAACAAATTTACCTTTTTTCGTAGCTTTTAAACAGTGTTCTTCCATTTTTTTTAAAAAGTTTAGTTCAAATGACGAGAAAGAGAATGGTAATGAAATTATCCTCATAATTTTAATCACGATAATATCTAAATGATCAAATTGTTTATCAAAGCATGCACAATAACATATAATATAATTTTCTCGATTCAACAACTGAATATGAAAATTGGTTTTGAATTTTTTTTTGATTTTACGATATAATCAACAACCTATTTGTTATTTAAATCTTGTTTAATAAATACAGTATTAATCAAGAAAAAATATTTTATTGATAAAAGAAATGCTTGTATAATTAATAAATAAATGCTTGAACATAAAGTTAAATTGGTTGAAAAAGTAATAATTTTTAGTTAAATTTTATCAAGGTGTTAGAAGTTGTAGGATAGTTGTTTGATTATTGATGAATCGGGTTTATTTGGTAAGCTAGTTATTTGAGTTTTAGAACAGTCTAGATAAGTTAAAGAGTATGGTAATGTTGGTAAGTTTGTTGTTTTAGTATTATAGCAACGGAGTTCCATTAAGGAGTTTGGTAATGTTGGTAAGCTTGTTATTCGAGTTACACGGCAACCGAATTCCGTTAAGGAATTAGGTAATGTTGGTAAGCTTGTTATTTGAGTTTCATGGCAAAAGAGTTTCTTTAAGGAGTTAGGTAATGTTGGTAAGCTTGTTATTTGAGTTTCACGGCAATCGAGTTCCGATAAGGAGTTTGGTAATGTTGGTAAGCTTGTTATTTGAGTTTCAGAACAGTTAAGATAAGTTAAAGAGTTAGGTAATGTTGGTAAGCTTGTTATTTGTGTATACAAACAAAAGAGTTTCGTTAAGGAGTCAGGTAATGTTGGTAAGCTTGTTATTTGAGTTTTTGAGCAATCGAGTTTCGTTAAGGTGTTGGTAAGATTGTTATTTTAGTTTCATGGCAATCCAGTTCTGTTAAGGAGTCAGGCAATGTTGGTAAGCTTGTTATTTGAATTTCATAGCAAAGGAGTATCGTTAAGGAGTTTGGTAATGTTGGTAAGATTGTTATTTCAGAATTGCTAAATTTGAGTTTTGTCAATTTTCGATATCTTTGCAAACCGCCAAAGGTGTTCAATATGTCATCCTTATTAGCAACTGTAATGGTTATACTTTCAATAGTATCATCATAAATAATTAATTCAAGATTTCTGATTCTCTTTTCTAATTCATTAATAATTTCTTGCTTTTTTTTTGGACACTTCTTCTCGTTCTCTAATCTTTTCTTCTAAATTATTAATAATTTCTTGGCTTTGGTTTCCTCTTCTCGTTCTCTAACCTTTTCTTCTAAATTATTAATAATTTCTTGCTTGGCTTTGGTTTCTTCTTCTCGTTCTCCAAGTTTTTCTTCAAAATATTTGAATTGTGAACGTAACCCTTCGTTACTTTGCTCTAATTCCTTAATTCTCGTTTCCAAGTCCCTTAACGTTCTTTCAAAATTGTTCCTTAAAACCATTTTTTGTCTGAATTTTTTTTTAATTTAAATTGTTTGAAAGACAGTAGAGAATGAGTTTTTTTTGCTCAGCCCTCGGTTTAAATTTTTCTAATGGAATGAATTAACGAAAATTACAAAAAAAGAATTGTGTAAATCGCCCCCGAACTAATACAATTTATTTATTGAAGAAAATTAGGTTAAAGTGATGTGAAGAATAAAAAAAAAAAAAAAAATTGCATATAATTTCGGACGAGGGCTTTAATAATTTTCTTTGTGACAAATTACAATTAAAAATCTGTTCTATCTATATACTTCGTGTAAGAATGAGAATGTATATTGAATCATTGGAATTGGTATCGAAATATTTACACAAAGAAATTACTGCGACTTCTTAGGAGACTAATTACAATTAATGAGGCTTGAAGCATATCCACTCACACCACGCTGTCTAAACTTTCGGAAGCGAACCAACCCGAAAGAGGAACCTAAAGAACGAAAAATAAAAATAAGAAATCATTCAGTCACTATGCCCCGAAGCAAAAGAAATTACCTAAAAAAAATTCATTGAAAAGATAAAGTCAAAAAAAAAAAATAACAAATAATAAAGTTAAAATCAAAAAAAAAAAATTCAAAAAAAAAATAATGTTAAAAAATAAAAGCTTTACCGCAGCAGATCGAGCGAAAAGTACCTAAAATAAAATAGTCAATAATCGAAAGAATAAAAAATGAAGAAAGAATAAAACCTACCAATCATAATCTAACCATCCATCTATCGTTGCGGCCTGAAATCTTCGAGGACAAAAAAAAACCAAAACTAAAAAAAAATAATTAAATGTTCGATAATCAAAAAAAAGGACACAAGTTTTTTCGTTGGCCCGAAGTTCTCCAATACATTTTAACACAAATTATTCCATAAAATTCGCAAAGAAAAGGAATCCGCAGCGACAAAGAAATCATGACTTCTAAAATTATTTATTATACAGCTTCCTCAACTGAGGATATATCCGAATTTGATGAAATACTTATCTTTTCAATAGAAAGGTGCATTAATTTCGTCTAATGCCGACGATTAAGTAGTTTCTATTTTAGTAGGAAATGGTAATAAAGTTGTATATAAACAAAGTTATGGGACGAAAGATGTTTAACTTTCCTCGTAGAATTTTTATTGTGAATGTTGAATTAAAAAAAAATTGAGCGAAGATTTTATCTTTGTTCAATTGGTATGGAGAAACTGTTGGACACTATAAAATGTATATAAATTATTAAATTTTTAAATTTTGTAACTTTAGAAATTTTAATATACAAATATTTATTTATGTATATAAGTTTCTTAACATATAAAGCATACTCTATGCATTTGATATAACTTTGTCAATGCAATGTGACCCATATCAAATATTAACTGATATTAATCAAACTAAGTATATAATGAACAATATTAAAATTTCTTGAATCGATTAAAAAATATTAAAAGAAAAAACAATACTTATTAAAAATACATTATTTTATATTACTGTACTTACTATAATTATCATCTTTAAAAATTTTTCAAAAAAAAAATACTTCAAACATAACATATTCTATTAGAATTACTATTTCTAGCAACAGCATTGTTAAGGATTGTCAGAGGGAAGATACATAGTTCTCATTTGCAATAATTAATTGAAAACAAAGTATTTATGATCTTAACCAAATTATATTTATTCCTTCCTTTTGGATACAGCCATAGCTAACGCTATATAAAGTGGAATCACCTGACACTAACAACTATATGTTAAATTTTTTTTTGGTTATACATTTATTTTTCTATTTT